AAGGGTTCGGCAGCAGCAGGGGAGGTCCTGCTTTTTCCCTGCCCCCAGCAGCAGCTTCTGCCCAGCTGCCGCTGTCCATCATGACTGGGATGGGTGAATCCAGTGCGGGCGCTGCAAGGGTCCTGACCCCGAACGTGGAGTGGGCTGGGGTCGGGGCCAGGGTTGTGTGCTCTGCCTGGGGCTCAGGCTCTGTCCACACAAGTCCTGGCGCAGTCTCCATGGGGCTGGCAGCAGTGGTAGCAGAAAGGAGCCACTGCTGCTGGGGCTGCCAGGAAATGGAGTCCAGCCACCAACCTGCCCAAGCCCTGCTGCATGCCCAGGGGCAGTGAGATGCACCACAGGCCAGATGGTGCCAGAGTCAAAGTCCCACCATGGACCAGATCTGGCTCCTGGGTCGTATTTTGCCCAAGCTTGTGCTAGACCATGGTGCTACTGTTCCTAGTCAGTCTGTCTCTGTCCTGCTTACTGGATTCCTTTAACTGTAGCCTGTAGATGTGTTCTGCACTAGTGGCAGCAATAATTTATTTAGATTCTTTCTCTGAACACTTCAGCTACCCTCTTTTGTTTGGAGGCATAATTTCTGCACCGTCATGGCTACATTACTCTTAAACTACCTAGTTATTTGGAGACAAGGTTCCTTGGGTGAATCTGATATCTTTTATTAGACCAGCCCAAATGGTTGGAGAATAGTTATTAAGCAAGCTTTCAAGTTCAAAAACCCTTCGTCAGGCTAAGGAAGCTTCAGCAGTTGGTGTGTGCTCTTCCTGGATGGAATGAAAAGTTATTTGGAAGCATTTATCTCAGCAATTCTGTTCTTTACGCTATAATCATGTTGGCTGAGATGATTGTTTTAATTACGAATCTTGAATGTCTTCAAAGTTACCTATGGATGCCAGTCTTCAGCTCTGTGATATAAGTATCTCTTCTTTCTTATGTCTTATGGTTCCAAGTTAGAAACCAGTATCCTTCTACCTTTGTATTCTTTATCAGCTGTTCCAGTATTGTACCAGTATTCCTTACAACATCGTTTTTTCCTCCAGTGAAATAGTAAAAGCCTTGATCATAATTTTTTCATCATTATTCCCCATAGTCAGCTCTTTTGTAATTGCGACAAGTTTCTTTGGCTGGGAATCCGGTATTCCCAGTGGTGCATGTCCATGCTGTATCTTTCCTCTTTTGGATTGTTTTATCAGCCTATTAATCATGCCCTCTTCCTTGCTGTAGGTTTCACTAGACTGATTCTTGCTGCCATGTTTCACATGCTGCAATGTTTATGTTGGGTCATAAAAGAAAAGGACTTCATACCTGTAAAATTAAACAGGATTTGGATTGAAGAGAGCCGGTTACGTAAGTGACCCAACTGCAGCTAGCACTCTAACCATATGTGCAGTGCATAGATTAACTAACTTCCTTGTGTCTCCTTCAGATTTTTCCCTCTTGCTATTTTAGATGACCTTCTGAGGTCCCTTCTGACCCTAATTTTCTATGATTCTGTTTGTTCTCCTTCCTTCCAAATTTCATCCATGTTGCTACAGATTGACTCTGGGTCTGAGCCACTTAAGCACTTCCCAGGTTCCACTTGCATTTGACCACAAGCCTGACCAGCCGAGCTGGGTGATGTGACACTGACCACAAAGGCCAGGACAAATCGCGGTCAACATGCCGCCGGGCTGGGCAGTTCCAATCCGGCTCAGACACAACGAAGTGCCGCCATGTGGACAAGCCCCTGGCACATTCATAGGTGGTTGTAACACTGCGGGGGGAAGGCACCCAGACACCTCGGTCAGCTTCAAAGCCATTTTGCCCAGCTGTGGGGGCCACCCTACTGCAGTAATGATATCCCTCCCCTCCAACAAATCCCCTGCCTGCTGAAAGGGGGCTTAAGAAACACAAGGTCTTGGGATAACACAATGTGGTACGTCTACACCAGGGGCGGGCAATTATTTTGGGCAGAGGGCCGCTTACTGAGTTTTGGCAAGCCATTGAGGGCCGCATGACAGGCAGCCCAGGGCAGATAAATATTAATTTCCTAAATTTTTTAGGGGCCCTACAGGCCGGATAGAATAGCCTGGCAGGCTGCACGCGGCCCGTGGGCCACATTTTGCCCACCCGTGGTCTACACATTCACTGCTGTGTCGTAGTTACAGGCAACCCCCGCATAGCGCTCTTAATCGGTTCCTGAAAAACCAAGCCTGAAGCGAAGAGCGGAGACGGCAACCACAACTGTTATTAACAACCCAAGACAGCGACCGCGAGCGTTATAGCAAAACTCACTGAGCACCAACTGAAATCAGGTATCCATTTAAAATGAGCGTTATCGCAAAATAGCGCCAGGCAAAACAGCATTAAGCGGGGGTCGCCTGTACTGCATAGATGAGTACTTCCTCCACGAAGCACTGTGTGAATGCTTACTGCGCGGGTAGCGCCGCCAGCACACAGTTTTGTGACGGTCGCCACAGCGGCCTCATAACGCTGCGCGGGAGCTAAGCTACCGCGTGGCAAACGTCTGGTGTGGACAGCCTGCACGCCGCCCCCTGAGGGACTGAGACACCGGCTGCCCTCAGCCTCTTGGGGCTCAAGGCACCCTGGCCAGGCGCGAGCCCCTCTTGGCAAGTGGCAGCTTAGCCGTCCTCCAGTCGTGAGGAAGACCGGGGCGACGCGGGAAGGGGACTCGCGCCGACCCCACGTGCGCGCGCGGGCCGGGCTGTCCCACCATTTGGACCCTCCGCGCTTCCCGTCCGCAGCAGGTGCCCGGGCCGCGGAGGCGCTGCTGGGACGCGAGCGCGGAGGCAGGGCCCGTCCCCACCCCCAAGATGGCGGCGGGAAGGGGGGCTGCTTCGCGCGCCTCGGCCGTTGATTGGCGGAGGGGCGCTGCGCGCGGGCGTTTCGAATCGCGTCAGCTGCGCGCTTGCCGCCCAACGGCTGTAACGGCCCTAACGGCCGCTCCCGCCTCCCACGTGCCTGCGGGGTCGCGTGTCTCCCTTGACGTACAGCCTCTCCTCCTAGACCCCACCCCTGCCCTGCCCCGGACGCTGCTTCGCGCGCCTCGGCCGTTGATTGGCGGAGGGGCGCTGCGCGCGGGCGTTTCGAATCGCGTCAGCTGCGCGCTTGCCGCCCAACGGCTGTAACGGCCCTAACGGCCGCTCCCGCCTCCCACGTGCCTGCGGGGTCGCGTGTCTCCCTTGACGTACAGCCTCTCCTCCTAGACCCCACCCCTGCCCTGCCCCGGACACACTGTACCTCACACCTCCCGCCCGCCCGCACGCCTCCTGAGTCCCCCAGAGGGGTCCGGCCAAGAGGAGCAGGGCTGGACACCCCGGTAGCCCTGTGCAAACCAGCCCGGCAAACCTACTGTCTGACCTCTGGGGTGGCCGTTCGTCCCATTTTATAGAAGACAACTTGGTTTTGTGCTGCTCAGTCCTATCCATATGAAACCCGGTGCCTTTGTGTCAGACTGGGGGAAGTCCGTGGAGGAAAATAGAGGACATAAAGGTGTCTGGTTTCATAGATTTCAAAGACATTAGGGCTGGAAGGGATCTCGGAAGATCATCGAGTCCAGCCCCCCGCCC